CCCGTATATGGTAACAGGGTCTGCTCACCCGGCACGTTGACGTTGACGGTTGCTGTCGAACTGTCGCCGAATTGCTGACCACCGGTTGGCGCCGGGCTCGCTGCCGTCGTCAGTAGCCGTCCTTGGACGAGCGATGTGGGTGGGGCTGTGAGCCGTCCGTAAGGTTGCTGAACAAAGGGGCGGACCAGGCTCTCCGCCGCAGTAGCCGTCCCCCGGTCGCAGCTTGACCGTATATTTTCGACCCCGGCGGCGTGGCGAGTAGGCCGCTGGCTTGCTGGCCGACTGGTGGTGGTATCAGTCCAACTGCACCGGTAGCTACGCTCGTTGAAGGGCTTGGGGTTTGCGAGGCCTGTGGGGCGGGGTAGCCGTCGTTGGTTTGCCGATCTGCCGCCGGTGTGGCTGCACGCGTCTCCCTCACCGACTCCGTCTCTGGTTGGCCACTGTCCGTGGGAATCTCGCGTCTGGCCCACTTGGGGGGCAGCTGAACATTTCTGGGTCTGCCTCGCTTACCCATCCCGTTCACCTCTGCTCGATCTGTCTCGAGTGTGACGAATGTATGTGTTCAGTCGAGGGCTCCCGTTGATCTCGTCTGCTCGGTGCACTGTGCATGCAGAGTTATCTCTCGCTTACTGTGATTTCTCGCTCCCTTGTCGTCCGGTGAATTTTGCGGGAACGAAAGCCAGTTATCCGCTAGATGTATTCCACCGTCAATCGAAGCGTGGGGCGGATCGCTGTCCGACCGTTTGTTCCACCAAAAGGAGCGTTATACACGGGAGCTCACAAATCTTCAACTTTCTCAAGCGAACACAAAACCAAAACTGAGCGGCCTTTGCGCCTTGAGAGGCAAAGCCTGCGCGCTCCAGAACCCTGAACAAAGAACTCATTTTCCTGATCGCGCCAACATGACGTAGACCAGACCTCCGAAAAATACTTCAGCCGTCAAGCGCTCAGGATTGCCTCACCTTCATCTGAAACCACTCCCGTATGACATGGCCGCGTTGACCTTTCACAAAAGGGCCTGCGCTCGATTTGAGCGCAAACCGTCTTTGGTACAAGTGGGTACTGCTCTCTTTTTCAGTGCTTTTCTGTTAAAAGAAAAAAAAAGTCTCACAAAATATTAATCCTTTTCGATGCCACATTGCAATAGGTTCCATATCCAGAACCGTGAACAAATAATCATCAACTCAATATTCCACATATGCCCAATTTGATCATGGCCCCTGTAAAATATATAATAGTAAAATTCCATTCTTTGAATATGCGGCCAAGAAAAATCAGATCAAGCAAGTTTCTCTAGTATTTGGGAGCTCAAAACATGAAGCCAAAGTCTACAGCCGATGCTGTGATTTCGTGAATGGTGCAATATTAGTTTGTTTAATATACATGTATATTATTATCCATAATTATACAACAGCTCTTGGGTAAATATATGAGAACTTTATAATTTGCTTCATTAATTACTATAAAAATTAAGCATCCGTTCTCCAACATTCTAACCTTAATTTGGTGAAAATTAGTGTAAAGCCAGGACAACATAATTGCATTACCTATTTCTCGACGCATGACTGCTAAAAGCTAAATGTAATGAGAAAGCATTAATATATAAATATGTGGCTAGCTCAATTTAATAAACATAGGGCGATTCAGTACATATTATTCACTAGTAGCATTTAAAATTATTTTGCGCGCTATGTTCACAACTAAATATATTTTATCTGGCAATAAACTGCTCTGGCCGAACGTAAACAAAGTTCTGCTACTTGTCGAAGCCTGATTTCTTTACCAGCTGTCTTGTCGCATGGGGTAATGAATTTATTTTATGTATTTCTTGGTCATTAATACCAAGTAAGTCAATTTGAATTACAGCATGACTTTGGGGTTAAGGAGTCCTTTTCATTATTGTATACATGTATTTCTAAAAAAAATAACCTGTACAATATTAATCAATGAAAGTTATCCCATCTTTTGATTTAGCTTTTTAATACACAGAATAAATATATCATTTAATCTGATTTATATGATTATTGACCTTTATTGCTTGGTCAAGTGTCTTTTGTTTAGTATCATCTCGATAGTTAGAAAATAATAGATGACAATTTTAATTGGTTAAAGACCTGTTGACGTTATGCTTTGTCAACTACCCAAACGGTTTAATTGAAGTAATTATTGTCGTTAGTTTTATTTATCATATTTTATTTAACTTTTACCAATCATTCACTTTAATCTCATACTTAATGCAATTCGATTGATTAACTTTAATCTTTCTAACCTTTCCTCTCTCTACTTTGCTGCTTGTTATAAATCTACACCTTGTTAACTGCTTGAGAACTCCTATACATTTATATACCCCCGGGTGATGCTGATCGTAATGTAATAACTTTTTGTGAGTGGACGGTGGGGTGGCGGCGGTAAAAAAAATTGATTCTGTCAAGCACAAAATGGCTGCTGGCCTGTTGCTGGCACAACTATCAATAATGAAGCTGCACGTATATATCTCTGTGTATGTCTGGGATGTACAGGCTTCATTTGTTTTCCATTGTGAAAGATTTTAGGCTTTGCATGGCGCACGAGTATCGGTATCGTTTCGGTTTGCGGTAACACCATTGTACCTATGATTTGCATTTCCATTGTTATATAGCCTTTTTAGGATTCAGTTCCTGTTTTGTTACGTGTAATTCTTCTATATGTGCCAGCAACAGCTCAAAACTCTTGTTGGGTTGTGATGCACTAAATAGAATGACCAGCCATCTATAAATTGTATTAAGTGTTACTTAATTTATGTTTTAATACACATTATACAAAATTGTGATATCCTGCCTTCAAGAATGACCGAAAAATTGCAAAGGAAAACAGACCAAAAATCACCATCAATATTTCAGAAAAAAATCCTCACAGTCTAAACACAAAATCTGACAGTAAAAATACTGTTTCAGTCTTGATCAAAATCTCACTTATATCTGAATGTATGTGTGTGTGTAATCTGCGGTTTTCACATAACACAATATAACTCCTTTTATTATAGGGCATTCCGTGGACAGCGCATCAAATTTAATCTTTTAGCAGAATATTAAAATTAAGTCTTTAAGCAAAAGTTTTAGTAAACATCATGGCATGGATCAATTTCAGTATCTTTTTGTTCAAATGAGTGGAAAAAGCATGCTTGTTTAATGTACGCTTCATTGTTTTGATATTTAAGAGGCAAATAAATACTTCAGGTCATTTTCTTTATTGACTCACCCTGTATAATTGACAAATCTGTGAGTCACTGACGTGGATAGTTGCTGAGAACGCTGTAGGCCTAAACTCATACAAAGTTCGTGAATTACAACCTAAAATCAATGTCAGCCCTCACCTCGATTAACCATTGGATCTAATGGTCACAATCAAAGAAATGGCTCATTAAGTGTTGTACAGACCAGAGTACCATATTTTTATTTCGTAATAATACAAATTACGCCTAGTCTTACATAAAATCACATGTTTCAGTCTTGACAAAGTCTCACATAAACCCTTCCGATGCCACATTGCAATTTAAGTTCCATAACCAGAAAAAAAAACTTCAACTCAAAATTCCCAATGCGCAGGAATTTATCCTGCCCCATGTAAAATGTTTATGGGTGATTCCTTTATTTGTTAAGTGTCAAATCTGCCTTTGGCTTTCATTGTTGTACGTCTTTGAATATGTGGCAACAAAATCCGATGATGCCAAAAACCCTACAGTGCTTGGGAGCTCAACAAATTAAGCCAATGTCTGCATCCGATGCCGTGATTTCGGGAAATATTTCAATAAAAGTCTGTGTAAAAATATACATTATCCTTTATAAAAAAATAGCTCTTCAGTAAATATCTGAGTACGATATGCTTTCTTCATTTATAAAAAAAAATAAGCGCCAGTTCTCAAACTTTTATTTGAGTCATTCTAAAATAAAGCAGGACAACATTATTTCATTGCTTCTAAATCTATTTGTAAACCCGCAGCATGTACGGCTTAAATCTAATGTACATCCAGATACAGCTTAAAGGGAATGTACATCATTGGCTTTTGCTGTAATTTCCAGAAATGAACTATTTGAGGGGTTAGTATAATAGATCAAATATTGTTACACTGACATATTTGAAGTTTTGTGTTCGAAAATGCTGGAAAAACCAAGAAAAACAAAAATGTTCAAGTAGTCTGGTTCCTTGACTCCACTAAAGATAAAATGGATCAATTCATAGATGCCAGAAAATTGTAAGGTTAGCGGACCAGTCTAGCTGGCCTGCATCCGTTCATGAACATGTAACCATTAGCAAACAAAATTTGGACTGAAAAAAAGTGTAAAGTTGCAGCAGTAGTTGAAAAATAGTTAGGTTTTCCAATGTATACAAAAATACCATTTTCTTGAAAATGACTTCACACCAGGTGCAATACTTTTACAGGATGCTCTAGACTGTCATTTACCAACATCCTAGTAAGGTATTTCGTAAAAACTCGATAGCTTTATTTTTCGATGTTTGCAAATGTTGTATCTTCCCTTTAACATGAACAAATCAAGAATTTAATTCTGCCTTCAACTCCAGATATCATGTGTCCATCAGGTGACCTATTTAACGAGTTCTTGGTACTGTTGCTCACCGGTGGGGGGTGCTTGAGCCTGCGGATACTGCCCCTTCTGGGCTCGGTAGGCTATAAATTCAAACAAAAATAAACAAGGGAAAATGGCCAAATAGAGTTTAAGGATAAGACAGTGCATACATTCTCCGTTATGTAACCACAGCTTTTGAGGAAATATCTGAGTACACTTTTCTTCATTCACTGTATGAAATTTAAACGTCTACAACATCTCTTTATTGACACATAAGGTAGGCATATTGCTAAGACCTAATCCACATGCAGCTTAACATGAATAAGTCAAGACTTAAATCCTGTTTCAAGCCTTAGATATCATGCCTTTAGGTCAAATGAGTCATTTAATGAGTTCTTGGAACCATTACTCACCGGTTGGGGGCGCTATAGCTTGCGGATACTGCCCCTGCTGCGCTGGGTAGGCTAAACAAGAACAAGGGGAAATGGGCGACTAAAGAAGGGTGGTATACTATATATATATATACACATGCACTAAAGGGGGAACACATTATATGAATCAAGAGGCTGCATAGGAGAGACCATAAGCATGGGATTTTTCTATCTGATCATTACTATAGCTTAAAATAATATTTAAGCCGTCTCTTACCAACTTGTGGCTGACCAGCAATGTTGTAGAAGGCTGGTCCCTGGGGCTGTGTGGCAACCCCCATGTGTGGTTGAGCTTGGTATTGGATCTGTCATTATGAGAACAATAATACTTCATTTGCGTGGTTTTTTTCCTCTCAAATACATATTGTAATTAAATACCTCCCACTTTGCTATCGTACGTGTAATTGTCGTTCATCCAGAATCTGAATGTGTTTTTCTTTTTACATCGACTTCTCCTCTTAAAATCCCTGACACCTAAGTGTTACCATAATGTTAACATTTTAAGTGGTCGAATTATTATGATCTCTGAGCAAATATAGGTCTAAAAGGCATTCGCTTTATTTTCCCGAGTATTAAGTGCTTCCGCGCTGTAACATATAGGCCTATTTATCCTTTCATAATTTCGTCTACTAGCTTCAGTGGTAGTCAGGGCATGAAACAGACAATAACTACATGGAGAGTCAAAAATAAGGAAACCCAAATGGTGGCCCCTATTTAAAAAAAAAAAAAAAAAAAAAAAAAGTACTGCATGTAGCGCTTGCCAGCTCTTGCCTAGATCATGTACCTTAATGTGATCCGTGGACAAAGTTGAAATGGTGTTTGTGTTCAAATTTCAAAACTTGAAAAGTACGAGAGCGATTGGAATGATTCTTTCACTGAAAGAAAGTTTATTAATCGGGCTTTTATATCGTAGATCTGGAAAGCGCTACATGCAGAACATCATTTGAAAAAAAAAATGGGAGCACCATACGGGTTTCCTTTTTTTTTACTCACCCTGTAGATTGTTTTGTCAGAAGTGCTTGCGAAAGAAAGCCAATCAAAGGATGAAAGGTAGGCCTATATGGCCATATGCGATAATAACTGCCATACTTGTGATACATGTATGCCGCGATACATACGTTAGAAATGAGCCCACTATAGATTATCAGGTGAATTTTAACTGGAGTTTACCTCAAAAGCATGAAATGCTCGGGTCATACAACACAAGGTCTCAAAAGTCCTTAATAACCTAATCCCAACACACCATGTCCTAAGACAAGTCACAATGAGCTAATTTACACCCCGTAAAACTGAATTTTTACTTGATCTAGATTTTTAAAAATCAATGCAGATCTACAAGGACATAGCTTGGTGTTGTCACGTACCACAGTCCGAGTTGCTGATCCACCACTGCAGAGGGGACCACAGGTCATGCTGGCACCAACGATGGCGACAACAAACTCCACCAAGGCGAGAAGTATCAGTATAGCATAAACACCATTGATGGCCGCCTGCATAGAATCATTGCAAGAGATATAATGTTTCAGTTTAATACCTTCACACTTCAAAGGCATCCCACAATTCAACACATATTAAACCTAAATATCTTTGCGGTACGTATGCCTAACGTTCCGTCTTGTAAACGTCTAGGTAGCTTTCAAAATCGTTTAACTTCATCATACACATTGAAACACAAATCGCAGTTTGGAAATACTTCAAATCAAGAAAAGCGGAGACGTGATTCTCATTAATATAGCGCCTCAAAAGTAAAGCAACAACGGCAAATTCGCTGAGAAATAAACAAATGTAACAAATAAGACCATTACAAAAATACACAGCCCTGGAGGCAGAAACACGAAAACGTTTTCATTGTCAGGGGATTAAAGTTCGACTCACCTGCAAATAACAGAATGAAGTATTGTAGCTATAACGATAACGCGTATAAATTGGATGACAGACTTGATTGATGGCTGACATCCTGGCAGCCCCAAAACCAATGACGCAGCACGTCGCCAAACAAGCCAAGATGGACATGACCATGTAGCCGACAGCCTGTGCAGAAAAATCACAACTCCTTCACAATCTTTCTAAAAGATTTTCTGTCCATTGGTGGAATTGGTCCAAGTCCATTAAAGTGGTCATATGTTAATATTCAGGCCTTATATCTGCGAAATATCACAGGACTGTATTCATTGTCTATACTTTTTCCCATTTTGAAGATTTCCCACTTCAAGGTAGCAACAACTGAACACCATTATACTATAATAATAAATAATAAATGGAGCATTTATAAAGCGCTTTTAACAAAGATCAAAGCGCTGTACAAAACTACAAAACTACAAATCTACAAATAAACAAGGCAAAAACAAAAACAAAACAAAAAACTTAATTTAAGAATGACTCAAGGGAACCAGGGGATAATGAGAGGTAAAGATGAAGGTGAATTGATTAAAGAAACAGATGTGTTTTGAGCGATTTCTTGAAGGTGATGATGGACGATGCAAGTCGGATGTGTTGAAGGATCTCGTTCCACTCCCTGGGGCCAGCAATCGAGAAAGCTTTGTCACCTGTGGTTTTAGTGTTAATAGGAACATGTAATCGGGAAGTGTCTGTTGAAGACCTAAGCCCCGCCCTACCTGATTGATACAAAGAGAGTAAATCAGTCAGGTAGGAAGGAGCCAGACAGTGTTATGTTTTGTAAACGTATAGAATTAATTTGAAAGGAATACGTGATTCAATCGGCAGCCAATGTAATTGATGCAGGAGCGGTGAGGCCTCAGTTGAGCGGCTTTCACAGAGAATAAGTCTGGCTGCACAGTTCTGAGGTTTTTGTAACCTGTTTCTGTTTCCTTGACTTATGCCGTATAAAAGAGAATTGCAGTAGTCAAGGCGAGATGTGATTAGCGAAAGTACTGCATGGTGACAAGTGTTCTGATCGATGAACTTCCAAATACGATTTATATTGCGTAGATGAAAGTTGACAGATCTGCATATTGTTGTGACATGTTGTGACATAGACATAGTAAAGTCAAAAACCACACCAAGGTTTTTGATGAAAGGTGAAGGTTTGATAGTGGTAGATCCTACTTGATAGTGGTAGATCCTACTGCCGAGTAAGAAACCCTTGACAATGGCTTACCACTCCGGAATTCTTCTTCCATCCAGACACTATGCCCAAGATTCCAGCGACGACGTAGAACTGTACAAAAAAGCATTGCTGAGATTTAGGAAGGGCTAGAGGATTCATTTGGCGTCCACACGTGTGCAACAGATGTATACGAATACAGCCAAAATGTTCATTTGGCAAAATATTGGACACTTTATAGCCTCCGATGCAGATACAACGGAAGTGTCTGTTGTACAACATAAACGTATCAATGTATAACACGTACAACGTAACCCCACCGTCAACCTCGTGCATGTAAACAACTTTTCGGTTTTTTTAATGAGAAATATTCCGCAAAATTCTTTCCCTGCTCTCCACATAAGCCTCTGTTTAAAAGTACGATCATAATAGGCATCAAAACCTACACAAGAAACAAAGAAACAAAGAAACAAACGAATCAGTACTGTCAATAAACAAAGAATAGCATGGAATGAGGGTGAAAATTGTACTTACTAATATACCACACCAAATTGGAGATCCGTTGTCACTGATATAGTAGAACTGGCCAAATGCAGTCACGGTGACAATCCCAAAAATGACGGTCAAGGAACCCAAAACCACTTGAATTACTCCTGTCCACAGAATACCCTTCCAGTTACCACTTCGAGGCTGTGGGTTGGCCGTGCCGAAAGTAACGCCGGCAGCGGGTTGCACCGACACCTGGTGAATGATACAGGGCCCAATTTCATAGCGCTGCTTAACAGCCGACTTTGTGCTTTTCGAGCCCCCATCTATTTCATAGGGACCGTTAAGCAGTAAGCACAGCAAAATCACGCTTAACCCCAAAAGAACACTTTGCTTAAATCAGTGACATAACAATAGAAAGCTCCATGCGCGTGCAACCGTTAGCATGAAATAGTGCTCAAGCAGCAGCATGATTTTCTGCTATAGTAAGCACAACTTTTTTGCTTACTGTTAAGCAGCGCTATGAAATGGGGCCCTCAGCTGGACGGTTCAGGTTGAGTGTCAATGGTTTTTTGGGTATGACTCATTGGTCTTGTGTGGGCCCATATGTATTTTTCGGTACACTCTTTCAAACTCTCGGGATCACGTATGGATGCCTCCACAAGTTCAAAACCACTTGATTCAATGTTTTCTTACCCTTTCATGGGCGAGGCCATTACATTTAAAAGTGGGGGCTTCGCATGCAAAAACAAATGTTTAGATAATTTCAATTTCCCTTTTCGCTTTTCAACAGCTCACCCAAGTGCAAAATAACGCTCACCGAAGTGCAAAATAGCGAGAACAAAATTTCCAGAATTTTGCCTTATTTGGGTTGGGGCCAACTTTTATAAAAGTGAGAGGAAATCCAGCTAAAACAGGCAATAGTGAACGGAGGGAAGAAAATATTTCATATCATAAAGTTTATTATATATCATAAAGTTTTTGTTTCCCTTTGCGAGCGTGTCACAATTTTCTTTATAAAAAAATGAATATAATCATAATCTTGAATATGACCAAAAACCCAGCAATCTAACCGCAAATTTCACTTTTTTTTAAAGACATTAAATAACAAAACATTTGGAGCTCATTATTATTTCTTTATAGAAATTTTAGTTGGTATGTCATTGCTTTAGGCGTAAAACAAAAATTTCCAAAAGTGGTATAAGAAGAGAGTGATTTCATATAAAAGCCCAAATTTATGGGGGTTTTAGGTTTAAAATCAGCGAAATATAAGTTTATAGTACTATATATGTTTATTTGGCAACTGAAATTTACATTCGATTTTGATTGTTACATCAAGTTTTTTTCTTTTTCCTTTTCTTAAGATTTTTTTTAAATTATTATATTTAAGTTAAGTGAAACAAAATTCTATCATTCTCCATTTTCATTAAAAAAATATATGCACTAATTCCTCAACATAGAAACGAAATAAAATTTGAAATGTTGCCGTATAATTTACTGCTTTAGACCGCCAAGTCAAAATTCAGAAGAAAAAAAAATTGACATGAGTATGGAGTAATGGTGCAGTATCTTGTAAATTCATTTCCTCTAATCCCCAAATTATGAAAAGTGTCTCCGCCTTAATTAAGAGACAGTTTGTCTAAAATTGTATTTCCGGTATTAAATTATAAATTCAAATATTTCCCCTGCTGCAAAATGTCTTCATAAGTGCCCCCTTTCCCTTTTTTGTTTATTTCGATACATTTTCCAAACGAACGCCCCGCCCACAAAAAGGTCAGAGAAAAATGTGGGTATTGAAATTGTCAAAGAATATACCAGACATTGCATATGGGAGATGATTTTTTTAAATATTTTTACCATAAGTCAACTGACCAATTTGGGGTTTGTTAAGAGTGATGTTGAGAATAAAAAAAAACACGTGATAGTTTGTATAACAAATATTTCGTGTAGGTACAATGCAACCCTAACAAAAAACAACAACAGTGAACTAAGTCAATGTGTTCATTAATACACTCGCGCAACACGACACACACCATGTCTTTGAGGTAGATATAATTGTTCTCATGCCAAAATTAGCACATGAATAAGGTCCGTGTACGTACATGACATTGCAAACACAAAAAGCGGACTGTATAATTATTGTGCGCGTGTACTCATGTACGAAGACCAGCGGCGTGTACAGCTTGCCTGTAATGAATGGTACAAAGCAGGCAATATGGCGACGGCGTAGTGAATACCGCATATATAACATAAAAGCACCATCAATGTCATTCTTATAATTATCTTAAAATAAGTGATGGCTTATAGTAATTAATATAATACTGATATGCAACAGTGCACAATATCGGGGCCCTATTTGATTTTCCTTTACACAATAATTATTCTGAACTGTTATATTCCGGAAGAGTTGACTGGCTTACCAGTTGTTGCTGGCCGACGGGCTGAGGCGCAGCCACGTGGGACGGAAGGGCGTTAGTAGTGGCCATCACCGTGACAGAAAGTATCTCTGGATTCTCTGTAATTCAATCAATCAATCAATTAATCAATCAGTTAATTGTCTGTCGGTCTGGTTCATCTATGTTTGCTCGCATTTCAAAGATGACATCTGTGACAGCTATACATTTCATACAAAATATGTATTGATGTCCTCAAATTAAATTATATAATTGTGTATCTATCAATTCAAGTACACACAGTTTGTTCCTTTGATTTTTAATAATACAAGGCTAATTCAGATTTAAAGAGTATTACCATAGGTGAAAAAGGTACTCCGAAAAAAAAAATATTGATGAAGAAGCAACAAAAAATATCCAAGAACATTGGCATAATACCAGTTTAAAATAGTACCTCCAGAGTACAATTTTATTTTGTTCGTTTTACGATATTTAAATTACTTCATCTTGAATCGGGGCAATGAATACATTTACGAGACGTTTCTCTAATGTAACACATTACTTACTTTACCTAAACGGGCGGTTCGTGTCATTTTGAATTCTGGCTATCGTGATCACTGTGCTCCAATGTTTGCTAAATTAAAATCTATGACATTATAATGACTAATAGCACTTCTGATCACGGGAATAACTCATGTATACATTCATGCATAATTTACTCCCTCCCTGTATTAATTCTTGTTTGACGTGAAAAAAACCCACATAAATTTCATGTATAGGCTGTAGTACTGGAAGTAGCGCTATGGAAAATGCGTTCGTCCAATTTAACAGAACGTGTTCAATGGCTAAATAGTGTTGTTCGTCGAGGCAACTTTTACACTGGAATAATTTAGATGATTCTCATTGCCATATCTACCTATCTTTGTAAAAAATGTCTCGTCTCACACGTACTTGTCTGTCTTATCTTGTGCTTTGTTTGTCCTATATGTCCATTTCACAGTATCTTGAAACCTATATTTGTCTCAGTTTCTATAGGTTAGTTTGCATAGTATATTAGAACATACACAGAAATGCTTGCTTCTTTGCTCCGCCTCAGCGCCCTGTGCTGGACATCCACTAGATGGAATTTGCACTTGTACATGCAGTACCTTACAGTCACAAAGCCTTTCGGTTAAACCTTATACCTCATTGTAATTTCATTTGCTGCTATATTGTTAAATCGCTGTGTACACAGTGTCTATCAAATATCATATCATTGTGTTCCTTATGTACTTCTACGTGATCGTACAAATTGTAATGAGTGCCAACATTGAATGTTACGGAAAGAAAACCAGTCGTTTTACCTTGCGCTGGAGTGTTCCTGTTTTCTCTACCGTCGTCACTGCCTGGCACGGCGTACTGTACACAGCGCATATCGACTGGGTTTCTCTGGCAATAATTATAATTGCGCGCCGTTACGTCATATTCCAAATATAGCATTTGCTCTAATATTGGCTGGAATAGCCTCCCATTATCATCCATCCCAGGGTCCGTATAGCTCCCAGCGCCATAGCGCTGGTATGAAACGGCCGAGTGATAAAGAAAGGCCGTGGTTGCCACAAATGTCTTTGAGCTCTCATTGGATTCATACTGTAAAACCAGTAACCTAAAGTCAGCACTTTACCGACGCACCACCAATATCAATGCGCACGAAATGCACGGACTGTATAATACAAGTCACCTACCTGCAAGGTTTCTGTTTTGTTCCGTGTAATTCTTTTATATGTGCAGGAACAGCTCACAACTCCTGTTGGGTTGAGATGCACTAAATAGAATGACCAGGCATCCATACATTTTTTTTTTAATGATGCTTAATTTGTTTATACAATATATAAAGGTATATTGTTGGTTCCTCAAATCAATATTAACTGAAATGGCCGAAAGTAATTCGGATCGTTGAAAAAGCATCCGAATCATGGAAAGCATCTTCATTTTAGCACGGTAAACGAATCCTGTAGTCCGTCCGTCTATCTCCTCTGAAACCAATCTAAATAGGCCTAACAAGCTTTGTCTTATTGATTGACCGTTTTAGAAGTTCTATCTCCGAGTTTATTGCATGGGGGTGATAATAAGCATTTTGTTTTTGCTTGGCACAAACAATGTGGCCCATCCCCCGTCCAAAAAGTGGATTATTCTGGTCCATAATCCGCTTTACCTCGGAACATACTATCATTCGCTCATGGACACATTAGCAAAACCAAAGTGAGTAGACATGTGTACAAATAATAGACATATGAGATTAGTCATTGGCGTCGATACTTTGCTGGCACGATCTGAACTGGTATTAAAAGAAAAGTGACTCGAATTATATCCTAAAGCACAAACTATTCGAAAACATTAACAATGTTAAATTTAAGTAAAGTGTTGCAAATTGATGGTAAGTTTTGTCTTTTCTATAACGTAGATCGATCGCTATGCAAAGAACGCCCGCCCTGCTTAAGTCAGTATTATAGGAGAGGGGTCAACCAGACATATCAGCTTAATCTGCAACCAAATTTTCGCAGAGAGGGGATGGAATCTCACAGAGTTTTTGTTGGAAAAAAAGTCCTACGGAAGCCGCCCATGGATCTTATGGGGGTCAAATTCAAGGAAGCCGCTCATTCCTAGCACGGTATAGAGTATCAGTTTTTATTTAACACTATTCCAAATTCTGGCAAGTCATACATAAAGTTGAACCCCTCCAATACCATAATAAGATCTTTTTCACTGCCAATCTCAAACAACATCGACTTGTACCAAAATGCTTCCTGAAGTATGTTTCCGGTACTCATATTCGAGGGCAATACTAGTGGCCTAGCTCTTTTAACGAGCACCCGTTTTTTGAAAATCGCGCAAACGTCGGCAAATGTGCCGCCATGAAAAACGGCACCTATTGTCCGATATTGCCCATGATCAGCCGGTTTGAACAGCGCCCCCATCAGAAGATGATGTCCAATCACCCACCACTTTCCCACGAAAACCGGGATCTGAACGTCCATGGACAGCCGAGTTTTGTGATCTTTTTATTGAAATACATGTAGATAAAACGCCAGTCATAGAGTAAGAAAATTACGCGAAATTCTTTCACAGTTAAAAATCAATAAGATGTACTTTATCCCTATTTTTTTTTATCAAAATGGAGCCACATAATTTTAAGAATTCGGTTTATTTCTTTTAAAACCATCCTGTATTGCGGCTCGGTGGCTTCCATCTCATGAATTGCTCGAGTTGTTGGAAAGCTGATGTGTGGAACCGGATTTGTCGAAAGAAAGTTGTCAATGGAAGTCATCGCGCTCTTTTCCTCT